GAGAATAAAAGTTACGTCTTCTTTCTTTGCGTGAACATTTGGGCGGCGTTATCAAAATCTTCCCACATCATGACGTAGACATGTGGGGGCGTGTTAGAATGAGACGTTTCAGGTAGGCGTGGTTGACTCTTAACTTTTATAAAGAATATCTCTTTGGATTTGAGACTTTAGTCTTTGCAACTTTACAGATCTTATTTATGCACCAAAAGCTTGTAACACTCCAAAGAGAAAGGAAAAATTGAAATCGCATCATATGACCCCTTTAAATCTATTGAAAAGTAAATAGAGGTGCAGCTAAAGCTGATTGCATAATTCCACAAAGAAAAACCTGGTTTGGTTAAGCTGTTTTTTCATTCAGAGCATCACATCAGTGGAATTCAATATCACAATCAATTAGAGAATGTACATCATTTAACTCATTTAAGCATCATTTTAAGAAATGGCTTTTTCATAACCAACAATGTGAACATTAATGTTGTTTATATAGGCTATCTTATAAGCTGCTTTCTATTTTAAATTTTTTAATACATATTTCTTTATTTTTTATTGTCAGTTTGTATAATTTGTTGGTTAATTTTTGGTTGAATTTCGTTGTTATTGTTTTTTCTATTTTGTTTCTTTTTTTCCCTCTAGTTTGTTTTGGCCTAATAACATCTGGCAAAGGGACTACCAATGAAAACTAGCCTTTGGGCTAATTGGGGTACATTTACATTCACGAATGTTGATTAATGTACACTGTCCCTTTTTTTTGGGAAAAACCGCCCCTGAACCACGCCGAATAATAGCTTCAAACTGTCCCACCCAAAGCTGGAAGCCCACATACTTTGTTGATGGTTTCCTGCAATCGCGTGACAGAGTAGTATAATTTCATCGAGTTGAGTTCAGACGTCAGAAGCAGATATTGGCACTAGGAGACAAGATGTCACTCGCTGTGAAAGACATTTCTGTTACCTACAATCCTATCAATCAGAGCAATACCTTCACCAGCGGGGATTATATAGCGGGACAAGTCATCCTGGATGTAGCGAAGGGCACACAAATTCAGTCGTTGAGTGTGAAAATTAAAGGGAAAGCGGAAGTGTTTTGGACCGAGCATCACAGTAAAATCACGATTATTTACTCGGACGAGGAGAAGTATTATTCCGTGGAGAGATTTTTTGTTCGGGAGGACAAAACGCATGGTAGGAGTAACTACTGCTGCTGTAGGTTTTGCTTTATAGTTAGAAGAAACCAGGTCGATTTAACCAGCTGCATTTTGTGCTGTAACTTGATCTAGCAGGAAATGAGATGCTGAAAGATCCATCAGGACAGCCGTGTAAGTCTGTTCGCGAATTAGATGAATAATGCAAAAAGAGCTTTGAGAAATATTTAAAATCTGATCTTTGATTTGATTCTTGACTTCTTAGATTCTTCTGCTGTGGCACCAGGGCGTCATGTTTACCAATTTACCTTCCAGTTGCCTCTACAGGGGGGGGGGGGGAGAATTTTAAGAACAAAGTTTAAAAATGTATCATGTTTTCAGAAATGTAATCCTTGTATTCGCGTTGTTTTTATTTTTAAAAAGGTATACAATTTAAACTAAATAAACAAAAATGTTAAAAGTAGGCTACTAACTGAAGTGGGGTGAATTAAGGATGATTGGGACATAAGGTCAAATGAGATAGTATAACTGTACAGTATTTATTTTCTCACCTAATGAGTGAAAATAACTTTTTTGATGAGCCCTAGCTGTAAGACCACATGGGTTGCCCTCATTCATGTAGATAGGTGGGGCAGGCATCAAACAGGATTCAATTCAATTCAATTCAATTCAAGTTTATTTGTATAGCACTTTTCATGATACAAATCGTTGCAAAGCAGCTTTACAGGAAATTTAGTAGTAGCTTGTCAGTGTTGACTGTCAAATTGATGTACATATGGCAGAAATGTACGGTAAAATTCAGTTAATGACATAAACAAATAGACGATGAACACTATTAACAGCAATGATTATATGTTGCAATTAAACTTGTAGCAAAATTTGGTAGTTTATGTTGTTTCAGTTTGGCATCATCTGATGTCCTCTGAGGGGTTTGCATCATCTCTTCTCAGGTGTTTGGTCATCTCAGGTCTTTGTAAGGGCTGGTTCCAGACTGAAGCTTGTGTAATTCCTAGTTACCACGGGATGTAAATCGGGATGTGGCAGAAACAGAGAAACAAATAGAGACATAATTAGCGTAGCTGCTGTTCCAACCAAGCAAAATTGATTTGTTTAACCCAAGCTAAAGAATAATAATGTGCATTTGATCAGATATAACTGCAGTACAAGATTATGAGATGCATTATTTGAATGCTTGGCCAAAGAGATGTGTCTTTAATCTAGATTTAAACAGAGAGAGTGTGTCTGAACCCCGAACATTATCAGGAAGGCTATTCCAGAGTTTGGGAGCCAAATGCGAAAAAGCTCTACCTCCTTTTAGTGGACTTTGCTATCCTAGGTACTACCAAAAGTCCAGAGTTTTGCGACCTTAGGGAGCGTGATGGATTGTAGCGTGTTGAGACTAGTTAGGTACGCAGGAGCTAACTCATTAAGGGCCTTATAGGCAAGTAATACTATTTTGTAACTGATACGGAACTTACTTAATAGGTAGCCAGTGCAGAGACTGTAAAATTGGGGTAATATGATCATATTTTCTTGACCTGGTAAGGACTCTAGCCGCTGCATTTTGGACTACCTGTAGCTTGTTTATTGAAGATGCAGGACAACCACCTAGCAGTGCATTACAATAGTCCAGTCTAGAGGTCATGAATGCATGAACTAGCTTTTCTGCATCAGAAAAAAGTAACATGTTTCGTAGCTTGGCAATGTTTCTAAGATGGAAGAATGCTGTTTTTGTAACATGGGAAATATGATTTTCAAAAGACAAGTTGCTGTCTAATATAACACCCCGATTTTTGACTGTAGAGGAAGTAACAGTACACCCGTCTAGTTGCTAATTGTAATCCAAGAGATTCTGTGTACTGCTTTTTGATCCAATAAGTAATATCTCTGTCTTATCCGAATTCAATAGGAGAAAATTAGTTCACTAACCACTTTATTTCTTAAACCTTTAAAGATCAATATATCTGTTTGTTGTTTTGTAGATATAGATTTTTTTCAGTGCCAAATCCCTCTGTTTCATTAGATGATGAATATCAATATTTATCCAAGGCAAAAAAAAAACTTTTCTCCTGTTACTTTTAAAGGAGCATGTAAACTTCTGGATTATATTTGCAAGTGTGTCTGTCAAAAAAAATCACAGCACTCATTTAAGTTATCAGTTTGAAATATACTCTCCCAATTTATGTTATTCAACTCATTTTCAAACTGAGACATCTTCTGCTTGGGAATTCCAGTTTGTGAATTATTAACTCTGGTTCCAAAAAATCGGCTCTGAAATCGTTGTTTTGTTAAGTTTCTGACAATCAAGGTCAAGTTATGATCAGACAGATCTGTTAACATATTATAAATGTTGTAACTCGTTCTGGTTTATTTGTAAAAATTAAATCTATCAGTGTTTTACTAGTTCGAGTGATTCTATAGGGCTCGTTATCATTTGATGCAATTTATATTTAGATGCATAATTGTAAGTTTTTTTTCTTACTGTTATCCAACCAATTTATATTAAAGTCTCCCAGTAAAATTGTTTCAGTGCGACAATTAAACAATTTAAATAGTTCATCAAAATCATGGTAAAACGAAACATTATGAGAAGGAGGGTTATATAACACCATAATATTAAAATTCATTCTCGCTGATAACACTACATTTAAAATTAAACATTCTAACCCAAAAGTCTCCAGTTCAATCACAGAACATTTAAAAAGATCTCTGATATAAACCAGTACCCCACCTCCTTTACCAGACATTCTATCTTTCCTGTAACATGTGTAACCAGGGACATCAATCATGTTTGTAGGAATATTAGTGTTTAACCAAGTTTCACTGAGTGCTAAGAAGTCCAAATTAGACTCACTCAATAAATGTTGAACTTCTTCTCTTTTTGATAAAACACTACGTATATTAAGATGACCTCCAAAAATACCTTTTGGTTTTGACTTTAAGTCCTAGATCACTTTTGCTTGATTCACTGTTTGAAAGTATTTCAATTTATTTTGCTTATGTGCTGCATGACTAAAAATCCCTTTACCAATATGTGGTTTTGGTGACTTTTTAGCAAATTGTTCCACTTTAGGCATAATGTCACTGTTCTCCACTTCTGCTGTTCCAGCAATGACTGAGTTCTGATTAAATTCCATGAAGAAGCCACTGACCTGTGCTAGGCCAGTAGAATGCCTCACCACTTCAACACCATGTGTGTCCGCCAGTGCCCACTGCAGACAACCTTCAGACTGCATATCAACAGACAGTCCCAAATTGATGCTAGTTGAAGGGCCTGGGTTTAGCTGTATATCACCACTTAGCAGGAGCAAAAAGAACAGAACTTTCAGATCATGTCCTTTCCTTCTGCCTTTTATACGTTGTTTAACCTTGTTTGTAATGTAAAGTTCTTCATCACATTGCCAACAAGTTAAATAAATAACATGATATCCATGCCCATAAAAGTTCAGCATTGATATACTAGTCATAGGTGAAGCATGGATAGGGATACTTGATGTTTCATCTTATGTCATGCTCAGACATTGACCAAAAGGGAAACAAAGAAACCACATACAAAGTAGCCATATGAAGACATACCTTTTGTTACTGAAGTTAGTATTTGGTTTTTGACTTTGGTCTTGATTTTGTTGATTGTATCTGTCCTTTAAGTTGAAATGAAGTAGTTTAAATGGATAATCCATAAGCAATTGGAGAAACCTCAAACAAATGTGCCAACATATCCTTTGTCTCCAGAACATGGGTGTAAAACTTCCTGAAATTCCTGTGTTTTTCACCAGAAGATTATTGATTTCTTTCTCCTCAGAATAAAACTGTTGAAAATATAGGCCAAACCATCCAAAATTGGTATACGAAGCTGGTGCAGAAGGTAGAGTAGAAGAGCAGATGCAGAGTCTAACAAACAGTTCAGCCATGCGCAGTCATATCCTATTACTCCCACGTAGTGGTTTAAAACTGGTAATCCAGAGTTTTTCCATGAATAAAAGTTGATTTCATTCTTATTTGAGTAAAACTGTTGAAAAATGTAGACCATTCCAACCAGGATTAGCAAGAAAATCTGGTACAAAAGAGCAGGTGTGGAGCCTAACAAACCACCTCTGCTCCTGGCAGCCATCTTGAAAGTCAAACCATTGTGAAAACCATTTAATGCACAGGTAGTTCCAAGTCAGTTTAATCAGAATTAATAATTATATTAATGCCCTGCTTTAATTGATGCACACAAACCCACACACATCACTCGCACCAAAACACACTAGTGATGGGTAGTTCGGATCATTTTACCGACTCGGACCTTTGAGTCTCGTTCAGCAAAATGAATGAATCTTTTTTCGAGTCATTTCGTTCATTTTAGCAAAATACAATTAAAATGTTACGTGTTACTTCCCTAACACGTCTACTAACGCAAACGTTGATCACACTACAAACAATACAAAACTGCTATAAGAAACAGAAAAGATTAATTCATTGTTTACCTGGGTCTTCAGTCTATGATTAGCTCACCTCACCTCTTATCTGACAAGAATGAACGAATCGTTCAAGAACGACCCAACACTAAAACACACACACAGAGAGAGGTCGGAGATTGCGTTGCGCACACACAGAAACTTGTTGTCAACGCTGCCACGCGACTTTTATTAATAAAATAGCCTAGATACTAGATCGCTACATTATATTCAAATAAATGTGATCTTACCACACTATTTCATCTCTGTGTCTGACTTGAAGCAGGCAGAATGCTAGAGCTAACGAGCCGTAACAGATGAAATAACCGTCATTTTTACCCTTCCAGTCAAATATTCCGCTGCAAACATCATTAACAGCTTTAAGCTGTTAGTGCTGGCAAATGACCATGGTATAAGCGGGATAACACTGCTCCGGGTGTGTGTTCACTACTGTGTGTGTGCACTTGGATGGGTTAAATGCAGAGCACAAATTCCGAGTATGGGTCACCATACTTGGCCACACGTCACTTCACTTTCACTTTCATAATGCACACTCTGATGCGATCTCCGACCTCTCTCTCTGTCTGTGTGTGTGTGAGTGATGTGTGTGGTTTTGTGTGCATCAATTAAAGCATCGCATTAATATAGAATGGTGATTAAACTGATCTGGAACTACCTGTGCATTAAATGGTTTTAATGCATACCTGACAGCCAATCAGAATCGAGCATTCAGACAGACCATGGTATAAGAATAATATGTTAAAATAAAATGACTGGACCGCACATATTTAAATATATTTAAATATTTATTATAGTTTTCTAAAATATAGTTAATAAAACAGAACATTATGTCAATCTACTTTTACCAGTATTTCTTTTCTTTTTTTTTTCAGGAATTTCAACCTTTTAATGAGACTTTACTTCCTGCTGTACAGTTTTACATAAAGCATTTCTTTTCCTTACAGGCACTTCCCACCAACCTTCAAAGGTTCAGTTGGAAAAGTTGTCTACACTTTGGAAACAAAGCTATCCAGATCAATGTGCATTTCTATCAAAGACAAAACAGAGTTTCACTATGTCCCCAGACCAGATGTGTCCAATCCTGAACTAATGGTGAGATTACAACAAAAATCCCATATATGTCTTTACCATACATCATCTATGTTTTGAGGTTTTCTCACCTGTGTAATAGATGTTTTGTCTTATAGGCACCTCAGTATGGAACCAAAGATAAACAAATGAAATTGTTCACCTCTGGGAGTGTCTCGATGAACATAAACACTGAGAAAATGGGATACTACCTTGGTACAATTATATTTCTTATAACATCTCAGCAGTGTTAATGTTCTCCCATTGTCAATAAACTCAAATTTTGATCATTGTAAACACAACCGTTTCAAAGAAAGCCGTATTCAAACCATTTCTGTATACATGTAAAATATCACAAGATTAAATATATGTAAAATCGGAAATATCAAACATCTTTGTGGAGTAGGTGAACACCGTTACTTTTCCATTTCTTTAGTTTCATGTTTACAGTCTGTGAGCACTCTTGTGTAAGCGAGTAGATTAAGATGATGAATGAGGTCTTTTCAGATCATGCGTTTTTAGCTGTTGTAATCATTTACAAAGAAGTTAGACATTTCAGGCTTGAAATCAACTGTTATAGCTGTTCCCTCCCCATCTAAACCCACGCATTACTTGTAGAACTGGTTCTACTTATTTTTTTTCTTCTTCTAGGAAAACATTAACGTTATCTGTATTAGACTTTATTATGTTATTATTATGTTATATGTATGTTATAGGTTAATTATATTATGTATTATTATGTTATCTGTACAGACTTTATTCATTTTCAGTGTGTTTTGATATCTCATATGTAACACGATCAGTGCATTACAAGCAACGTGCGTAGTCAGATTACTTTTTTCAAGTAACTAATAAAGTAACGCATTACTTTTTCATTTACAAGAAAATATTTGAGTTACTTTTTCAAATAAGTAACTCCAGTTACTTTGTTTTTCCATTGATTGACTGACAGCTTCGTGTTGCCATGTTGAGAGAAATCGGGAGTAAGTCCAGTGGTGTTGTGTGCGCTTTGGGAATGACACCACATGAGTAGGAGATGAGTAAATGCATGTTGACATTTAGTCTAGAACTACAGTAAGCATCATTACT